AACGTCGTCGTCCGCGTTGACTGCGTCATCTCCGACGACCCCTCCCCTTCCGCCGCCGGAGGAGGCGGCGACAATAAGACACGCGGCGTCATCTCGAATCTCGCTCGCCTCGTCCTTGGAGGCATCGTCAAGCCTCTCCAAGCCCTAGGTCAGATCTTGAATAAGAGATCTCTGGAAGCTTCGTCGTCGGCTTGCTCTCTGGTTTCGTCGGAAGTATCGCATCACTCGCCGACCGAGGTCTTGAAGAACTTTAAGGAGATTCGGAGGCTGAGGATCGAGCTTCCAGCTGGTGAGCTCGGGGTTGAAGATGGATCTCTTTTGAAATGGAAGGCTGGTTTCGGATCTACGCTTGATAGTTGTGTTATACTTGGCGCGACATCTTCGTCTTCGTCGAAATCTCAGAGCTCCAGCCCTAATCCTACTAATTCATCGGAATTATGCGGTGTTGATGATAGCGGAAGTATTCCAGAGGCTTTTTACACCAACGGGAGCCTCAAATTGAGGGTTGTTTGGACGATTAGCTCTCTGATTGCTGCGTCCGCGAGACATTACCTTCTTCAGCCGATTATAAATGATCATGAAACGCTGCAGAGCTTGGATCTGACCGATGCTGATGGGCAAGGGGTGCTGACTATGGGAACTTCACAGTTGAAGGAGCTGAGAGCGAAGCCCGTGTCACCTTCAGGGTCTTCGCAGAGGACTTTAGTGCCGGCGCTCAGTATGAAGCTGTGGTATGCACCACATTTGGAAATTCCGGGTGGGATTGTGTTAAAAGGTGCGACTTTGGTTGCAATCCGGCCAAGTGAGGAGGGATCAGGGGAGAATTTGAGTGCGTGTAGTGCGTCATCAGATGGAGCGAGTTGGGTTTCAGATGCATTTGAAGAACCTTACAGGACGGCCGTGAGGATGTTGGTAAAGAGGAGGACTTACAGCCTCGAGATGAATTCCTTTTGAAACCCTGAACCTACCAGGAGTTTGAGCAATCGATCAAGAGGTATCCTGTAGACTTTAGTTGAATCTTTTCCTCTTGATTATTTGTTGTTTAGTAATTGAAAGTTCTATAGTTTCTGTTGTGGATTGCTATAATATTATTGGCATTTTTTTTGATTGGACATCAATACTGAAGTAAGTTAATTAATTGATTGGGTAAGATAAGTTGTAAGTAAATTAATTGATTGGGTAAGACAGGTTGTGTTCAATGATTTCTTCGTTGTGTATCTTCTTAGATTTATGGATTCTAATGAAGCATGCTTATGAGTAGTTTGTGAGATGGACAAGATAGGCAATTAATTTGGGGGAGATGAATCTAATTGGCTGCATACTTTTTAGTTTCTAGACTTAATACTTTTTTCCCTGCGGTGGTAGTGTTTTGGGGGTGGGAGCGTGGGAGTGGGGAGGGGGTAGGGGGGTTTGAATTGCAGGAGGGAAAGCATAGGTAATTAAATTATATTAATATTTTCTATTCATTTATTGCCATATTAGCTATGACTTGTAGAAGTACATCACTGGAGTAATTCTTTGACTTCACCTCAAGGTTGAGGTAACTCCCGCGATTATGCTGTCTGATGTTTTTTTCATCTTTTCTGTTGCATTTTAACTGATAGATACTTTTTTTTGGGTTGTTTTGTAGGTATAGCCTCTCATTAGCAAGTGATTAATGGGTATAAAAATGATGAGACCAAATTAGTAAAATTAAATAATGCTTGGCTTTGCCATATAGAAGGAAGGAGTCCCTCAGATTATCCAGCACAAGGTCCTGTCAGTAGGCATCTACCATATTTATACACATACTTTTTGATATGATACTTAGTTGAAAAAGCTCAGGGTGGTATGTTCTATAAATTGTGAGTAGGGTATGATTTAATTCCTTCTGAAATGTTATTTATTGGGTTTACCTGATAGGTCGATCCAAGGGTATACCTGTACAATAACCCACAACCACGATGGCATGTAGGAACATATACAAAGGGCTATGTGTCAGGCATTCCCTAGTCTTGAGGGCACACACTATACTATACAACAACGAGGGTAGAGCAAAATCTGGAATCTGTATCCTCTAGTATCACTAGTTAATTATTTGGATCAAATCATTCTGATTTAGCTTAGCATGTCAACTGTGGTTGGGTTATAGCACTTTAGTTCATGTCATATTTAAACATTCATTGTAGAGTGTTAATATATCGCAGGCGATTGCATTTTTTTTTAATATGATCTCTAAGCAAACATAATCGGTTTATTTGATGGGAAATCACAAGCTGTATGAGCTTAAACCATGATTATAAAAAGATTGTCCTACCTGCCGATAACCATTTTCAGTTTTTGCTGTAAAGCCTTCTCTAGCATCTACTTGTCTGTGCTGGAAGGTTTGGTACCAATTGGGAGAGAGCCACTTAGCACTTATATCATAAATCCTGGCTTTTGCGGAAGATGTAATTGAAAAGGTTTGGATGAGGATGACAACGATACCAATCATAAAGATGATATGGGATGGCCAAAAAAAATGATGATATTGGATGGAGTAGTTTAGAATTGTCTGCAAAGAACTATGTCTCTGTAACCGAGTACAACCAATCTAGTCTTTATTTAGATTGATGTATTGGCGTCACCTATGCTATGGGCAAATTTGTGGTAGCTTCATTCTTCAGAAGATGGTATTGAGCATAATGACCTTGTATTCTCTAGAAACCAGATGTATTGAGCAAGTTGCTATTGGTTTCTCATTGTCAAATGACAATTATTCTTTTCCAAGTTATGTTTTCACATCACTATGTATAGACTTTTCCTCTTAAAATGGGGTTTCTTGTGGAGTGCAAATCTCCATCAAGGACTTGTCAGACGATTGTGTAGTCGTCAAACAATAGTCGGTGGTAAGCTCTTGCCGACATATAGACGAGTGGAAGCTCTCAGCAAATCCTAGCTGACTTATAGGACAATCTTCCTCACCGATCATATTTCAAGAGATGCTTCTTAAAAAAATTCTTCATGGTGCATGGGAGATTAAGAGACACTTTAATACCCTCCAAGTTTTTAGTTCTTTCTTTTTTTCGTCTCCCATATTGGATTCCATTAAAGCTCATTCGACTTTGCATTTTCAGCATTCTGATATTCCAATATGTTTTTTTAAAATTGACCTCCGTGTACTGTTGGATTTTCAGGAAAATGGAATGTTCGAACAAAAGATTAGAAGGTCGGAGTAATTTTGAAAGCGCGGAGAAAAGCTCGATGAAGACCTTAAAAATCTCAAGCTGCAACGTTCTCTGATACGAAGAGTCTGAGTCTCCTCTCTGCTGCTCATGAGATTAAAACGTTAAAAGATGTTTTTTTTTGTACGAAATGTATTGTCGGTAGCACGCTCGACAAGAGTCTTTGATGTTTCCTTCCTGTAAATGTTTGAGATAATCCTGATGTTATTCTGTTTTGGTGACGTAGATCAAGCTTTTTAACTCTCTTGGAATTTGATTCTCTGGAAATCTTGTTCTACCCCATTAATGAGCTCGTGAACCAGGAACCGGTGGCGTCATGTGTTATTTATTTTCTAGGATCAAGTTGGGGATATCTTGATTTCTCTATTTTTTTTTTTTTTGGTTTACATCTCTTGACTCTTGAGTATAGTATCGGGCATGGAGAGTATGGCGCGTAGTAGTGTCTATTTATGACGGTATTAGGGACGTATGATGAACTGTGGGGCCAATGCTAGCCCGGAACTATAATTTTGTGAAGATTCTATACCATTTGTTTTTCGTTAGAGCATCTCCTACCGCTTCATCATATTTATCATAATTTCTCTAAAATGGGGAAACAAAATATCAAGTTCTCTAAAAAAAATTTGCTCTAAATCCAACAGTTTTCCCATTTTAGGGATTTAGGCATTTATTACAACTATAAAACATCTTACATACTCAATAATTATTAAGAAAATAAATGTTTGATGTTTTATTATAGAGCTTTGCTACAGGGACCTAAAATATGGGACCAATAGAGGGAACAAGTGAGGTGTCCCCCTCCTATTGGATAATGAGTTGACAATCATTAATGATGGCCAACTCATTATCCAATAGGAGGGGGACACCTCACTTGTCCCCCATATTGGTCCCATATTTTGGGTCCTTGGAGAATTTTTCTTTATTATAACAATATATAACTCAATAAAGTATTAGATATATATTTTTTTCTTCTTTGGAGAATGTGAGATATTTATGATAGTGTTACTTTCAAGAATTTGGAGAACGAAGAATTTTTG